AGTGGGGGAGGGAGAGTGCGGGAGTGGGCATACCAATCGAATGGACCTTCAAATGAGCGATGTCGTTGATGCAAACGCAACCAACGATCCGCCCACCAGGTTTCCCTCCGAATGGCAACGCAAGCCCTCCCAGTTGCGAAGAAACGTTCAGTACAAATAGTGCAGCAAAACAAGCATAGTAGTACCCGAGGAATTTAACGTGGGACATGAGTCGGGGCTCCTTCGATCTATTTCCAACCATATCTCCTCACTAATTGATCCTCCGACACCCATGGAGGGACGCAAGTCTTGTTATCAGCTTCCGTGAGTGATAACAATGAAAACCATCGGATTGAAAGACTGGATGAGGAGACGATGGATGGAGAACATAACATACAACGATTATGAAGGGTTAAGAAGGTTCAACCTTCCGAGCCTTACATAAAGGCAGTTTGTTGGATAATGGTAGCGATCACTGAACCGCTGAGGATACCACAGATAAGCCCAAAGGCCATCACATAACCAGCAATCTCCAACTCCTCTTGCTCATCTTGATCCACTTGAGTCGGTCCATGTATCATACACCAAGAAGCAACAACACCATTAGAACCAGCAAAGAACGCCATAACAACAAAGCGAAACCAGTCTTGATTCAATGGGTTAGTGTTAACCTCGGCACATAGGAAAAACAAGGCGATGAAAATCAAACGCCCGAAGGACGCAAAACGTGTGCCTCTTTTGCTCAAACGGAGATGATAACTAGGCGAAGAACGACCGATAGTGTCGAAGACCTGGTAACAGTACGTCATGAGCTGACCGAACAAACCGACAGATAAATTGGAGGGCTTCATCTCGAATACGAGCCAGGGGAAAACAGTGAATGTAATGGTGAAACTGAGCCAAACATTGAAGGCTTGAGGGACCGTATCCCAAACGACTTGACCAAGAGGGCGCTTCATCTCTCTTTTGAGTACGAACTTTTGACGACCTTCTTTCAGTTCGAGGACAACACGCATAAGAGGATGCTTTTGCATAGCATACTTGTACATAGGG